TCTCATACCTAACCCAAAAACGTAGCACTATACCAGCTACTGGGAAGACAATTAACTCTATCCTAGCCAAAACCAGGACATGGTGCTAGGTGGCAAGTCTTCTCCTGCCTCCAGCACTGAGTTCTGGCCTAGAGAACTGAGTGTTTTTTCTGTTCAGTGGCTTCCTGTAGCACCCAGGCAGCCTATCTCATACCCTGGTTTTCTGCAGATGTTTTGACTTTTGTTAACCGCTCTCTAGCTACAGTGCTCCTGAGGGTCCGGCTGGCAGTCCTGGGGGGTTCCAGTGGTCTGAGATTGGCACCCAGCAGCAAAGCCCTGTATTGATGCTGTCTGGAGCATGCGCCTGTCCCAGCCAAGCCGACTGTGCCTGCGTTCCCTTACCAGGGCCCTGAACAAATGCAGCGTGGAGGTGTATAAGAAGGTGGGGATGCTATACCCGGAGATGAGTGTCCACGAGCGCTCGCTGGACTTCCTGATCGAGCTGCTGCACAAGGACCAGCTGGATGAGACGGTCAATGTGGAGCCGCTGACCAAAGCCATCAAGTACTACCAGGTGGGTCTGCGGAGCCGAGAGCGACAGGCTCTTGGCCAAGCTTGGGGCATTTCTGACCTGCAGGGTGGGGAACTGGTGCAACCTCACCAGCGTGTGCCACGGCTGGAAATTATGTCCTTGGATACATCGTTCATATGGCACATTGACAAGCTGTGAATGAGCTCACTGGTAGCACTTGCCTTTGGATGTTTTTCACCCCTGGAGCATGCAGGACATGAGCCTGTGATTGTGTCACTTGGGGGCTGTGTTCTCTGTCCCTGGGAGAATGCAGACAGAAAGGATGTGGTTCTCCTGTCCTGGATTTCTGTACCTCTGTGCTGCAGGCCAGGGTTGCTGACCCTTTGAGTTAAGGGCCACCAGCTCTTTCGGAGGGCAGAGTGTTCAGAGGGAATCTGGTGGGTGTCACTGCAAGAGTTTTCACTTCCAATTAAAAATTAGGCCAAACCCTCAATGTTTGGGATTTTTGTCATGCATTTTCCCACTTGGTTTGTTTGCTTGCGTGTGTGGAAACATTTGAGGGGTGCTGATCTCTTGCTGATCTCTCTCCTCACCTAGCATCTGTACAGCATCCACCTGGCTGACCAGGCTGAAGACTGCACGATGCAGTTGGCTGACCACATCAAGGTGAAGTGGGGAAAAATAACTTGACTCTTTCCTTGTTGTGTGTTTTCTGCCTTTGCCCTTTCTGCTCTCCTCTGAGATCACTTTGTGAGTTGAAGTGCCTCTTCTACCCCTCTCCCCATTGCTGTCACTTTTCCCCAGCTCCTGCTGCCAGTGGTGGCACAGAGGTGATGAGGGCTCCCAGGTCACAGAAGGGGGAAGAAGACATGGGGCAATTTGCCCTGCGGATGTCTGGGTAGAAAGAGAAGAGCAGCAAGGAGAGTGTGGAGAACCTAGTGTCTAAGCGGGAGTGTTGTACTGCCCTGAGCTTCTAAGGGAAGTACTGGTGTCCTGTGCCCCACAGAGTAAAACAAAAGTTGATTGAATGCCTCAGCCTGTTTTCCTGCTCCTGTAAATCCTGGAGTCGTGGCAGGGTGGTGTACAGAGGGTCCGCCCTGAAATGCCCAAGACCAAAGCCCCAGTTTGCCCTAGAGCAGCTCTCTTGCCTGGTCTCTGCTTTGCCCCAAGCTGATGGTACGTGTGTTTGTGCTCTGCAGTTCACCCAGAGTGCCTTGGACTGCATGGGGGTGGAGGTGTGCCGGCTGCGATCCTTCCTCCAGGTAGGACATGCTTGGGGTGGCTCTGCGGGGTTGTGCTGGGTTCCTCTCACCTGTGTCAGTTTTTCTGAAGTCCTTTCTCTACACCCTAGGCTGGGCAGGAGGCATCCGACCTTGCTATCCTCCTCAAGGACTTGGAGACCTCGTGCAGTGATATTCGCCAGTTCTGCAAGAAGATCAGGCGCCGCATGCCTGGGACGGATGCTCCGGGTATCCCTGCAGCACTGGGCTTCGGGCAGCAGGTGAGCTGGCTGGCAGAGCAGGACACCCTAGCACTGCCCCGCATGGGGCCATCTTAGCCACATACTGGGAGCTGTGGGCTGTACTGGGCTACCATCAAACGCTGTTAGATCATTGCTGTCCTTGGTGGCTCCAGGGAGGGAGTGTGCTGGTGTGCCCTGCTTAAGGTGAGCAGCAGCCCACTGCACAGATGGAGGAAAATAGTGCGAGCTGAGATGGGAGGTAGTGTCTCTGGGCTTCGTGTTTCTAGTCGGGACAGAGACATGGACTTTTTCACCTAATCTTCTCCAGCTGTGAGTTTCTTTCTATCTTTCCTGGTGTTTCCCATCTTCCTAGTGATGCTTCAGAAGCAAGTTAAAATCTCAATAGCTGTCAGACTAGGGCAAGGCAAGTGTTGTGCAGCCAGGAGCCATTGTGCCTGGGAAGCGAGCTGGAAAGCAACCTCTTTGTCTCTGCCTTTCCCAACCATCCTGTTTCCGCCCAACTTCCAGGTGTCGGACACGCTCCTGGACTGCCGCAAGCACCTGACGTGGGTGGTGGCCGTGCTGCAGGAGGTGGCCGCTGCTGGGGCACAGATGATTGCTCCTCTGGCGGAGAATGAGGGGCTGCTGGCAGTGAAGCTGGAGGATCTGGCCTTCAAAGCGAGCGAGCAGGTAGGAAACTCCCTTCCCGTCTGCCCCTCATTCCCTGCTGCAGCAGGGTAAAGCCAGGAACTGTCTCACTCCAGTGCTACAGACCTGCCCGTGAGCAGCTCCAGATGGGAGAGCCTTGTGGAGGCTGGGAACAAACTCCTGGGAGTATGGCCAGGGAACACCAAAATGTGGAGGGCTTTGTGGTCCCCTGGTCTGTGCTGTCCTTTCCCGCAGCTGGCTTTGCTCTGCAGCCGCACCAAAGGGACTGTGGGCGCTCAAGACCTTTGGCACATTGTGGGGAGTCGGGAGGGGGCTGTAATGGTGACTGTGAGCCCAGCCCAGGGGCACCTGCCACTTTCTTCCCGTCCTTTGCAGATCTATGGCACCCAGGGCATCAACCCCTACGAGTGTCTGCGTCAGTCTTGCAGCATCCTCATCGCGACCATGAACAAGATGGCCACGGCTATGCAAGAGGGAGAATACGATGCGGATAGACCACAGACCAAGGTGGGCTTTGGCTGTGGCAGGGGCCTCGGGCAGAGCCAGAGCATCTGAGCTGCTCCATAATCTCCCATAGTCCTGCTGCTGCTTTCCCTGGCTGGAGGGTCTTCTGGGTGCGATGGGGGGGCAGAGAGCTGAGGAGGTGCAGCAGTTGCCTGCAACATTCGGGGAGACTGGGAATGGTCCCCCTCTTGCCCTGTGGCCCCATCTGCAATTACTGGAATTCTTCGTAAAATACCGATTTTGTATCATGTTCCTCTGGTCTCCGTTACAGCCTACCCCACCTGCTGACCTACGGGCAGCAGCTATTCGGGCAGAGATCACCGATGCTGAGGGGCTGGGGCTTAAGCTGGAGGACAGGGAGACGGTCATCAAAGAACTGAAAAAGTCCCTCAAGATCAAGGTAAGCTGTTCTTCAGTCAATCTATGCCTTCCTGGCTGGTCAGTGAAGAGGTGTTTGCTGCTGTAGTGGTCACATTTGTGCTCCAGGTGACTTGTTGCCTGTGGAGCTGACAGTCCCGAGTCCCAACTAGATCTCCTCCTGGAAATATTCTTCCAGTTGTCAGGGAGGTGCTGTCTGGCTGGTGACTCCCCCTGTGAAAGACTGTCCTGGCCTTTGCCCCATGATATTCTGGGATGACAAGTGTTGGTGATGGGTGCGTGTGCCAAGCATAGGTGCAAAGTGGATAGGCATTGTGATTTCTGGGCAGGCTCCCACCAAGCACTGCAAGGAACTTTTCCTAGGGCCCACCATTCCCAGGGCCCTGGAGCGCTCTGATTTCTTTCCTGCCACTCCAGGGCGAGGAGCTCAGCGAAGCAAATGTGCGGCTCAGCCTCCTGGAGAAGAAGCTGGACAGTGCATCCAAGGATGCAGATGACCGTGTGGAAAAGATACAGACGAAGCTGGATGAGACCCAGACGCTGCTCAAAAAGAAAGAGAAGTAAGCTGCTGTTGGAGGGTCTATTGATGAGGGGTGGACAGCTGGTGGTCCTTTGGTCTGGCTGGCAGGGTTTGTGGCTTAGTGGAGGGGGATGTTGGTGAAGGATCCGCAGGGGAGCCAGCACTTTTTAATGGTGCACAGCAGAGCACAGGCTGGCAGAGGGTCCTGGGAAAGGTCCAGTTCAAATGCTTTTGTGGGAAGGGCCGTTGCCCTGGCATGTTCTTACTACCATTTCTGTGCTCCAAGCGTCTCTTGCCACAAGTCCGTTGGCAGAGCGAGCCCTTGGACAAGCAGGGAGGTGCAAGCTTGCAGGGTGGAGGGAGGACTGTCTTGCAAGCTGGGCAAAATGGCTAAGTGTTCAATATGGACAAATACTTTCTTTGTGTGTTATACTGCAATCTGCAGTAGAGGCTGGTGAAGCTCCAGCTCCTGGATCAGCAGGTTTGTGCTTGAAGCACAGCAGGAGCAGGATGCATGACAAAGCCAGGAGCCCTCAGGTCCTGGACTGCTTGCCTCTTTCCTTTGGAGGAGCATCTCCAGCAACAGCTGTGACTCTGTACACTCTTCCCAGGGAGTTTGAGGAGACCATGGATGCTCTTCAGGCAGATATTGACCAGCTGGAATCAGAGAAGGTGGAGCTGAAGCAGCGCTTGAACAACCAGTCAAAGCGAACCATCGAGGGCCTGCGCGGCGCCCCTGCCTCTGGAGTTGCCTCCATCGTGTCTGGCATTGCCGGAGGTGCGTAACCAGTGTCCCCAGAGCACTGGAACACTTCTGCAGCTGGTGTGGGGTATTTGCAGGCTGGAAAGGGAGCCTGGGATGTCCTCCTGTGTCAGAGTCCGGGAGCTGTGCAGAGGATTCCCTGCAGTGTCTGTGTGACGCCTGCCTGGGAGGCAGCGCAGGAGCTCGGACTGGGAACGGTGTTCCGACAGTTCACTGCTCTGCCCGCCCGGCCCTCCTGCAGCAAGCCAGAGCCTCTGGTGTGGCTGGCAGGGGAGAAGACAGGAGGTGTTCAGGCTGTAATGATGACCAGGGAGTGCGGAGAGCCTGCAGCTCCCCAGCAGCATCCGGCAGCTCCGTGCTTGGGTGGACAGGGCAATGGTGGCACCTCTAAGGAGCCAGCCTGGGGTGTCCCTGCAGCTGGCTGGGGCTGGGGGGGCCCTTGGTGGCAGGGCACCCTGCTCTGGCAGCTGTGGGCAGGCGAATGCTGGTACTGCCTGGCCCAGCCTGTGGGCCAGTCCTCCCACGGGGATGCTCCCGTGGAGATTTAGCAGTCGGTGCCTGCCTGCTGGCGCATTCTTGCTGCTGCAGGCAGCTCCTGCCTCTGCTGCCGTGCCTCTCCAGGGCACGGATGGGCTGTTCAGGCTCTGCTGCTCTGACCTGGCTGGCTCGGAGAATGAGACCTGATTTCTCTGTGCCTCCTGGGCTCTTGTGAAGCCCAGCAGCAAGGGGTGGGTGATGGTGCAGGATGGGTGCTTGCTGAGGTTGCAGGTCCTTGTGCTGGGTAGCAGGGATGTTAGTAACTTCCCTGTCACTCTGGAGGAAATGTCCTACAAAAAATGCCTGGTGGCAGGACCAGGTCTTCGGCATCTTTGTCAGGAGCTCTGGCTGTAGGACATTGTGTGGCCTTCCAAACTGAGAGCCCCAGTGTCCTTTAGGACTGTGACCAGGGTGGCTGTGGAGCAGCCTGGCCCTCTGGCCCCAGCGTGGCAGCGATCCAGTGGGTCCAGGTTCCTGATCCTTTTGACCTGATCTGTGTTGGGTAATGCCTGGATGCAGCCTGGCTCCTGCATGCAGCAGCTCCTGGCCCTCGTGGAGCTGCAGCCTCTCCTGGAGTCACTGCGGCCACGAGCTCTGGCTCTCAGGGACGCTGACAGCATGTTCTTGGTCCCGAACAGCGTGTGCAGCACTGTGAGCACTGTGCCAGCACCAGCCTGCTCACGAGTGCTGTGTTTCAGAGGGGGAAGCTGGGGGCACAGGGAGCACAGCCTGAGGGGACCCCAGCTCTCAGGGGTGTAGTGCACACTGGGTGCAGCGGGGCAGTCGGTGGGAGCCGCTCCTCCGCCCCTGCACAGGGAGGCTCGGATGGAGCACCTCGGAGCAGGTCAGCATGGATCACTGTGCCTTCGGACCCACAGCAACAGGTGGCTGTTGTGGGGCAGCTCTGGAGGAGCCGTGCCGTGGGTGCACATGTGTCCCCCTTGGGTTGCTCACAGCCACACACACGGTTGGGGCTCACTGGCCCTGGCCGGATCCTGCAGCAGCAGCACGTGGAGTCCCACTGCCCTGGCAGGGCAGCTGGGATGGTCGCTGCTCCCGGAGTCAGGGGACAGGGCTCAGCACAGGACACAGCCATGGGTGACCAGAGCTCCTCTGGCCATTTGCTCCTCTCAGACTTGATCCTTGGCTTTAATTCTGCTTCTTCTTGTCTTTCCTCTGGCTCCTCTCCTTGTACTGCAGAGGAACAGCAGAGAGGTACGGTACTGCACCCCAGCATGCCAGTGCTCCCCGCCTCCTCTGGCCCCCAGAAGTGCATGCCGGGGGGACACTAGCGTCCCAAGACACCCAAGCATGGCCCTGGGACAAGGCTTGGTTTGGGAGCAGGGGGAAGGATGCAGGTCCTGCTCAAGGGCAGCGCTTGGCTCAGGTCCCGAGCAGCCTGTGCTGCAGGGGAGCTCGTGGCTGGTGCACTCCTGGACAGTACCAGGAGTCTGGGAAGGGAGTGGTGAGCATGAAACTGCTATGGGTGCAGAGTGGTGTGACTCCTGCAGCGGAGAGATGGGTCCCTGGAGTGCCCAGAGTGTGGCACAGCCCCGAGCCTTTGGGAAGCGGGCACCGGGAGTGCCTGGTGCCGGGCTGCTGAGGAGGCATGGAGGGGGTGAGGTACTGCCCTGGCCAGCTGGTGTCTTGGCCTTCTCTGTGGGAGCGGGACGGGAGGTGCCGCATGTTTGTGATGGCTCCATCAGTGCCTGGGTGCACACAAGCAGATGCTGCTTCCCTCCACACTGCAGACACTTGTCCCTTTGCTGAGCCTGTCTGCATATCCAGTGCTGCTGTAGCAGTCCTGCCCCACGCTCACGTGTGACGGTTGGTGATGCTGCTGCCGTTGGTGCCCGTCTGCAGGTGTCGGTGCTGACCAGGTGACGGGAGGCGGTTCAGGACCCATCCAGGTGAAGGACTCACCTCTTCTTCTCCAGCAAATTGATGTCCTGCAGCATTGCATCAGGCACCTCAGGAACGAGAACAGCCGGCTCAAGGTGAGGTGTGGGGAGGTGCCTTGCCCTACAGCAGGTCCCTGGGTGCCTGCAGTGCTGAGCAGGTCCCAGTGGGTCCCGGCACACTGGACCCCGCGGCTTGGACATGCCGTATGTTGGGAGGTCGAGCAGGAGAAGAGGGAGGGCTGGGGGAAGCTGGATGCCATAGCACAGGGCCGGGCAGAGCAGCCTGAGGGTCCGGCTGCTGCCAGCACTGCCGGCGGTGATGTGCTCCCTCCAACACCGCAGAGCAGCTCTGTCCTCCATGCTGTGGGTTTCCTCAGGAAAAGAAACAGGAATGGCAAGGCATGTCGGACTCTGCTTTACAGAGAGGGGCTCTGTGAAGAGCCCAGTCGGGGCATGGCTGTGCCCGTTCCTGTTCCTGTGGCGGGAGGCTTGGGCTCTGCCCTGGGAGCACGGCAGCCCGAGGGATGGGCCGTCCTGCAGTGCTGCGGCACTGCTCAGGGGCATTCGTCTTCCTCCAGCGGCAGGCTCTGGGCTGGGGGCTTGTGCTGGCTTGGTGCCTGCCTTCAGCTGGTGGTCTTGGACAAAGTCATGTCCCAAGAGGCCAGGGAGGTCTGTGTGGGATGCGGTCCATGTGGGACGAGCTGGAGGAAGGGCACTTAGTCCACCACATCTGGTGGTGGTCAGGAGCACAGTTCTGCTGTGGGACTTGCAGCGAGCTCTCCACTAGTGACGAGCTTTGGCTCCTTTGGGGAAGGGGCTGAGCCGCAGGCTTGGTCTGAGTGCAGCGTTGGCGGCTGGGAGCCAGAGCGGCCAGCAGAGCTGGGGGTGCTGGTGGCATCGCTGCCCAGCCTTGGTCCCTCGCTTCAGTCTGGGGATTCCAAATGCCAGCTGATGCAGACTGATTAAGGCATTGATGGATTAACGAACGCACTATGAGGAAATTGGCAAAGCAGCAAGTAATCTAATTAACTGAATAACATTCCAGTAATATTAATTCACAGACATATAATTATGCAGATGATTATGCACAGCTATGAAGCTGTTAATGATGGTTCTTAAATCTAATGAGTCACATACGTGGCCACTGGCAAGTTATGGTTCTGTAAGTACTGAGGTGCCAACCTGTTTCCTGCTCCCCAAGTCTTACATGTGCTCAGCTGTTGTCCAAAGGCTTCCCTCTGGTGTCCTGGTGTGTTTGGGACATCACTGCTGTCCGTGGGCATCCGTGCTCCTACCCTTGGAAGATCCACCCTTTGGTTGTTTTCACTATAGTTTTAAGTCCCTTTTTTTCATTTGGGCTCTCCTTTTTGCTGCCTTTACACCACATTTTCTCTGCTCAGTTCCTCCCAAATAAACACCCTGCCCCTAATGACCTTCTCCCCATCGGTCCCAGGGAGCCCAGATGAAGATGCAGCTGGCCAGCCTGAAGCCTCTGCAGGTACCCAAGCTCTCCCTCCTCATGAACAGGCAGGGAGAAGGTCTGCGCACACAGACGCTGTATCGCAAGGCCAGCCAGCTCCTGGAAACCGCCTATCATATGAGCGCCACCATGAAGGTTGTGGACCTGAAGCAGACCAAGTCGGGTAGGTCCCACACAAACATTCCTTGGCTGAAGCACCTGGGGAGCAGGGGGCTCACGGGCAGCTGTGAGTTGGAGGGAGCTTGGCCCACGGTCTGTGAGCAACCTCTGCATCTTCCCTCTGCCCCGGGGAGGGACTGGCACCTCCTTCCCATCCAGCCAGCATCCGGAGCAGGGTCTGCTCCAGAGCAGAGCTCCAGCCTACCCCTTCAGACCTACCTGCCAGGGGTCTGCTCTGGTGGCAGCAATCCCGGCTTGCTCGAGCTGACGGGGCTTCCCTGTGCAGCAGGGAATGGCCTTGTGCCCCCGAGAGGTGGCCATCCCCATCCCCCTGGCTGCGGGCATTCGTGTCTGGGGACAGCGTGGCACTGGTTCAGCACGCAGGGGCTGAAGCTACTCCCTGGAGTCAGCATAGCTCAGCATCTTCCCTGTGGCACTGCTGGCTGAGCCAGGAACCTCTTGCCCCCCCCAAAACCTCCCCCGGTAAGAAAGAACCTGAGCTGGCTGAGCCAGCACTCTGCATGTGCCGTGTGCCTATGGCTGAATGGACCCTGAGCCGCGGGGAGGACGACACCTTCCTCCTTCTCCCTCCTGCAAACCTCCATCTCCCCTGCATCGGCATTCGGACAAGCCGGCACAGCAGTGGCTGGTGCCAGCAGTGGCTGTTGCCTCACTTGTGCTGTGGTGCTGGTCTGTGCCCAGCCGCAGGGCTCACCGTCCATCAAGGCTGGGCAAGGCAGGCCCCGGTGTTCCGCGTTGGAGTCTTTTGGGGAAAGGAGCGCTGGATGAGTGCCCTGTCCACGCTTTGCCAGCCTGCGTGTCTCACCTCCTGTCTTCCGTAGGAAGGAGCTTGTCAGCGCAGCTGCTGGAGCAGACAGCCCGCCTGTTGGCCCTCAAAAACAGCGTCGACAGCCTAAAGGTAAGGTAGGCTCCCCGCCCCCTGCGGCAGGAGGGTGGGTGTCCCCGCAGCACCCCAGGCCCAGCCCTCCTGTTCCCCTGGGCTGGGGAGGGGGAAATGAATGGCCACGTCTCCGTGTGAGCACCGTAGCTGGTGCTGCCATCCTGTCGGTGCTGCCAGCACTTAGGTGTGCCCTGTGGCACCTCTGGCTGTGGCAGTGGGGGACAAGGTGCTGCCCCTTTCCCCTTCCAAAACAAAGTCAGGTTTGACCCCTCTGCCTTGTCCCCAGGGATTTGGGGTGGTGAAGGGCTCTGGGGGTGGTGAGGGGCTTGGGGGGGTCAGTGAGCCCAGATGCAGCAGGAGCAGCCGTGGGGCAGTGGTGCGGTTCTGGAGGTGACCTTGTGCTCTCTGCCCCCCCCCCCAGGATGAGGTGATGAGAGAGGTGGTTCAGCAGCAGCCGGGTGCCAGCGTCCCCACCAGCTTTGGCACCTTCCCCTCCCCCTCCTTCCTCAAGGTGAGACCCTTTTTCCTGGGGCAGCGGCCGAAGGACGGGGCCGGGGGCATCAGGAACCTCCGTGCTCCATCCCCTTTGCTCCGCTGCGCTGCTTGTGGCCCCAGGACCCGTGGCACCCGTCCTGTCCCCACCGCAGGAGGGTGAGGAGAGGGGACAGCTTGGTCCCCGCAGCCCCGGCTGGCGCAGGGACCGGCTGCCCCCCCCGCCCCCCGGACCCCCATCCTGACCCCGGCTGTTCGGCACTTGCAGGCCCAGCGGGAGAAGGAGGAGGGCCTGGTGCTCTGCGGCAGAGTGACCTTCCCCTGCGAGCCGGGGCAGGGCCGAGTACACAAGCTGGTCGTCACCCCCGAGCTG